AATTTAACCGAATTAGCTCATTTATTACAAAAAGATTATGCCTTGGTGCGGCGAGAGGCTCGTATTTTAGAAGGGATGGGACTCATTAAATTAGAAAAAATTATTAAGGAAACTCCTAATCAGCAAGGCAGCAAAATTAAATTTAGCGAGGTTAAACCAATTGCTCTTTATAAAAGAATCATTTTTGATTTTCCTATTTTGGAAGAGACTCCGGTAGAAAAAGCCGCAATTGATAACCGACTAGCGGCTTAATTTTAATAATATAAGTAAAGGGAGTTTGTTTAGTTTAGTTAACTACTATTTAACCAACTATAACTCAACTCAAACTTGGCCCAGCAAAATCTTTATAATTAGAGCCGCGGAGCGGCGAATATCTATAGTCTAAGCATACGCAAAAGAAATTTTTTTTCCGATGAGCCGTGTGTTACTGTATTATGGCGAAGAGGGAAAAAAATTTCTGATGGAGATGCTATAAAAGAGGGAAAGTTAAAAAAACCGGAAAAAAAATTTCCACACCGAGAAATTTGGGAGCCGAAACAATTTTTTTAAATTGTGAAGGCGTCTTAGTTAACAAAATACTATTTTTATAGGACATTTATATTATTTTTATGTTTTATTTTATCCCCTTGCTTATTTTCTAATAAGAGAAAAAAGAAAAAAATATTATTTTAACTATTATATAACTAGATAGTTAACTTTTAGTTAACCGCATATTTAATATTTATCCTAATTTTTACTAATTATTTAGTAATTAGTAATTAAATATAAAAATTATTTTCTCTCATTAGTTTTTTCTTTCATTTGCGGTCAAAACGGACACGAGTTCAGCCGACATAAGGTCAACACCTAACCTCGTCCGTCACCGTGAAAAAGAAGTCAATTTGCCCTTCTTTTCAGTCAATTTTTAATTCTTTTTCATAATGCTTAATGGTTCCGTCCGGGTTAACTCGTTTATAAAAAACCGTTCGCAGTCCTTCTTGGAATTTGAGTCAATGATTTTCCGGTCCGAGAACGAAATAAGGTTGATGTTTCTCATTAAGGTCTCCGGTTTTTATCTCTTGGCCGTTTAGTCAGAGCCGATTTTCTTTGATATTATAAATAAATTGGTCCATAAGAGGAAATTATAATATGGCCGCATAAAAAAAGGATCGATCAAGAAAATGCGGCCATAATTAATTTTAAGGTTCTATTCTAATTTTGGCCGCAAAATCTTTTATCATTAGCGAGCGAAGTATGAGCGAGCGTAATCCCTGTTTTTAAAAAATAATGGAATAAATATGAATGATGACAATATACATAAGAGAGAGAGAGAGAGAGAGAGCAAAATTGGATCAAACCTGCGAAAAAATAAGGCAAATGCTATCTAAAAAAAATGATTATGGATAATTTTTTTATTTTATAGTTAACTAACTGATAACTAAATGGTTAATAATTAGTTATATAATAAGTAACATAATCTCCTAAAACTACGATCTAACAAATTATGTAAATAAGAAAGTAAATATGTCAATAACAAAATCTTCAAAAGATATAAAATTTTCCAACAATTATAACGAAATAATTAAATATTTAAGCCTGATTTTAGATGGCACAGAAGCCGATGACACAAAAAAGAAATCAAAGAAACTCGAAACTTTATTAACTGAAACAACTAAATTAACCAAAGATAAAGAAGAAAAAGCCAAAGAGATCAGAAAATTAGAAACCAAGAAAAAATCCTTAAAACATGTTTTCGCCTACCACCGAGAAGCCGAAAACCAACGCACTCGACTCCACGACAGCATAGGACAAGGCGACAATTTAGACACCAAGTGAAATAATTTCTTAGGCACCGGAGGCACTAAATGAAAAACTCACGGCTGAATTAAAAAAAGCCAAGATTTTTACACTGACACTAATCCCATAGATAATCTTTATAAGATTAATCTTGGCACAGAAATAGAGACAACCGAAGACCAAATGATTAAAACTATCGCCCGAATAGTTAAGGCTTTACAAAAAGTTGATGTTGCTGACTTCACCGCCAAATATAACGCCAAAGAATCTGATACTACCAAGCAAGGTCAGGTAGCCACTTATTTGGCTGAAATAAAGGCCTGAGGAGCAGAAGTAAAAGGTAATAATGGTCACTATGACTTGCCTCACCAAAGCATTTGGCAAAAATATACTCC